TCATCTGGGGTGCTCAGCAGAGGTCATCCATGTTTTCAAAAGGACTTAACGTTTATGAGGATGATCTTTCTAAAGCAAAAATTCAGAAAAGGAAACAGCCAATACATTTCTTTGAAGATAAAATTATTAATGGAAATATTCCTATATTCTTCTTTCTATTAATTCCATATCCCTATATTCTTACCAGGTCTTGGAAAAGTAAGGGCTAAACTTAGAGTTTATCTCATTTCCTGGGGTTCTACTTATGTTATGGTGTTCCTTACTCATAATTCGTGTGTGTATGTGTATGTGTGTTTTGTGGTTGCTGCCTTATTTTTTTTTTTTGAGTCCCCTTTACAGCCTGCAGAAACTCTTTTGTTGCCTTTACTATGTTGCATCATAGCTGTTTTTCAGAGCCTATTTATATTGTTTAAAATAACTTCATTTTCTGAAAAATACTTCATGCTCTTCAACTGTACTTTAGTTAGCCAGATGGTGACATATGGCCATGTCTCTTCTTGCTCTTTTACTTGTACATTCATAAACTACATATTTGCAGTGGTAAACTTTTTTACCGAGAAAGGAAAGAGCATAGGATTTCAGTTTGTGCAGTGTGAGAAGTCCTTTGATTAAGGTTGCAGTTTTGTATCCTTAAAATAGAGCCTACTATATATGTAAAGTACATATATACATGAAAAATTATTATAGATAATATGTATTATATGTGTATTATGAATTGAAATAGAGAGGGGGATAAATATTCTGTTTGTGTTTCATTTAGGATTTCTATTTGTTACAAGCCTGAATAATTATAAAATTTCACTCTAAGTTATAATTATTATAATGTTTTACAGTTTTTATTAAAATATTATTCAATGAATAACACCCTGCTGGGACATGATTTTTCTTTCTAAAGCAATCTGAACACTTCACTCAACAGCATGTGTCTTCAGAGAGCTTGGGAAGCCCCTTATTTGAGCATCTTTTTCTGTAGATAAGTCTTTAAACATTCTGGTTGAATTTAGATACATGTTTCTTCAGTTATTTACATTAAAAGAGGCCCTGGGGAAAGATCTCGACTAATTAGAGGATTGGGCAATTACCAGACGTGAAATTTAACGAGGTCAAGTGTCAGGGATGGGACAGCCTGGATGTATGAACAGGAAGGGGACCTGGGGGTCCTGGTCCATGGCAAGCTGAACCTGAGCCAGCAGTGCCCTGGCAGCCAGGAGGGCCAACCCTGTCCTGGGGGGCATCAGGCACAGCATGGCCAGCAGGGCAAGGCAGGGATTGTCCTGCTCTGCTCTGCTCTGCAATGGGGCAGCCTCACCTCAAGTGCTGGGGGCAGTTTTGGGTGCTACAATATAAAAAAGACATAAAACTGTTAGAGTGTCCAAAGAAGGGCCATGAGAATGGTGAAAGTCTGGAGAGGAAGCTGTGTGAGAAGCAGCTGAGATCACTCCTCTTGTTCAGCCTGAAGGAGACCAAGAGGATCCCCCTCTCCCCCTGCCTTCACAGGGAGAAGTGGAAGGTCAGGCACTGATCTCTTCTCTGTGGTGACCAGTGACATGACCTTAGGGAATGGCTTCAAGATGTGTGAAGGGAGATTTCTTTTTTAGGAAAAATTTCTTCACCCAGAGGGTGGTTGGAAGAGGTTCCCAGGGACCTGTTCACTGAAACATGTCCCCAGGGAAGTGGTCACAGCAGCAAGCCTGACAGAGTTCAAGAAGCACTTGGACTCTCAGGCACATGGTGTGACTTTTGGGGATGGTGCTGTGCAGGGCCAGAAGTTGGACTTGATGATCCTGATGGGTCCCTTCCAACCCAGCAGATTCTATGAGTCTATATGGGAAATAAGGAATCTGTTTTTGAAGAAAGTAGAATTCTTTAGGCTAACAAAATGAAATGTTACCTTCAGATAGAGGAAGGGCATGATCAGAGGGCTGGAGCACCTGTCCTGTGCAGATAGGCTGAGAGAGTTGGTGGCTTTCAGCCTGGAGAGGAGAAGGCTCTGGAGAGACCTTACAGCACCTTCCAGTACCTAAAATGAGCCCACAGGAGAGCTGGAAAGGGACTTTTTACAAGGTCATGCCGGGATTGGGCATAGGGGACTGGCTTTAAAAATCTAAGAGAGTGGGTTTAGGTTACATAGTCACTCAGAGGGTGGGGAGACATTGGAAGAAGTTGCCCAGAGAAGTTGTGGATCCATCACTGGAACTGTTCAAGGCCTGGTTGGATGGGTGTTTGAGCAGCCTTGTCTAGTGGAGGTGTCCTTGCCCGTGGCAGTGGGGCTGGAATGAGATGATCTTTAAGGACCCTTCCAACCAAACCATTCTAGGATTCTAAATGTATTCTCATTCTATATTTGTAAATATATGTGGAATTTATATAATATACTATATGGCAGGCAGAGAATACAGTAAATATATATTGTGTAGTACAAATATTTACTATAAATAATATTTTCATACATGCCAGCAAAGAAAGTAATTGAAATAATTGAACAACTTTTTTTTAACAACTTCTTAATGAGAGAGGTGGGAAAAATATTTAAGGTTTTTAAGATATAGTGTGATAGGTGGAATTAACATGATGCAGTGGCTGTGATGGGGAGAGGGACAAGTCCACTCATTCAGAATGTCCCTTTCCCCCAGTGTCCCCGTGAAACTGACAGGAGGAAGCATTCATTTTAGTTCATGTAGATTGTCATAGCTGGCTAAAATCTTAGGAGTGTCTTTAATTTTTTACTAGTACTTCTTCCTGAGTCAGACCATCTTTGCCTTCTAAATGGGAAGTGTCCGGCTATTATAGTTCAGGTAATGGTTGTGCAACCAGTGGCTCTCATTTGGTTTCGATTAAGTCAATTTTTCTTTAGTCTGTTTTTCATGGGATGAGGGATTTCACTATGCATCTCAGACATTTAGAATCACACTCGAAAATCTCCTCAATTCATCTTGTCACAGCTTGGATTCTCCAAGGATAGATCCTAGGTCTGATGTTATTCAATCTGTTCATTTTAATTTGGAAATTAGCAATAACATAGAGAAATAAAAATATTCTGATGAGATTAAAATAATTTGTTTCAACTAAAGAAGACTTTTAGAAATTTCTGAGAGCTCTTCTGCATTTGGGTGAACTAGTAACACCATGACAAATAAAACTCATTGTTGATGAAAGCAGTGTAATTTATGTCAGGGATACTTAGAACAATATTCTCTTCAGTACTAAATCTAGATTAATTGTGATCGACTGAGAATATGAGCTGTTTACCATATGTGGATAACTTAGTGAAAATCTTCACTGAGGAAACTGGGTTAAAAGAAATTCCCTGAAAGTTACAATGTCACTCGAATAAGTCAGTAGTGTTCTAGAATTGATTACAGTCTTTCTCCTTAGGTACCTCATATCTGAGAAAGGTTTAACAGTCACAGAGGGACTCTGAGACAGGAAACATACATGTCTGGAAAAGCTATATGGAAAAAAATAATTAAGACAGCTTAGAAAGGAGGTAAATCAGAATGTACAGTGACTTATAAAGGAAGGTAGAAAAGATCAAGTCAAGGCATCTGGTAACTAAAGTTGTAATATAAGAAGGAGGGATTATTGTGTTGGATTGAATAACGCATTTAAACTATTTACATATTTTTAAATCTAAGGAGTAGTTCCTTATACAGGACACTTGACAATTGGATATATGCTGTAGCATGTCTAAGAATGAGGAGTAAAAGGATTAGGCCTTTATGTGGACAGTAAAAATAGCTACTATTGTTAGGAAGAACATAAAAACTTTAGGAGATCTAAACCTTGGTACTTTAGGGAAATAGAAACCCTGTAACAGATGGAAGAAATCTGACTTTTGGGATTAGTTTCAGGCATTTATCAGAAACATTTGTCTGTTGTCATTCTGGAGGCTGGATACTGATCAGCCATGTGGAAAACTGTTCTTATTCACAGAATGACAGAATCACAGGGTGAATCAGGTTGGAAGGGGCCAAAGTGGGTCATCTGGTCCAACCTCCCTGCTCAAGCAAGGCCATCCCAGAGCACATTGCACAGGATTGCATCCAGATGGTTCTTAAATCTCTCCAGTGAGGGAGACTCCACACCCTCTCTGGACAATCTGTTCCGGTGCTTGATCACCTGCAGAGTAAAGAAGCTTTTCCTCATTCAGGTGGAACTTCCTCATCATTTTTTCAACAAATATACACATGCACACAGATAAAACAGTGGGTAAATTCAAAGGCCTTCACTTAATTGGTCTCCCATATAATGTATTATTTTCATATGGCACAAATATCTATATCTGCAGGAACTGAATATTAAATTGGACCTGCTATCTCTTTTTAACTCTCTTATTATATGAAGCCAAGTTTTTTAACAGTGTGGTAATGCTTGCACTGTCATGACAACACAGGGAAAGGGAAGTCTATTGATCCATATGTAAGGATTTGGGCAGAAAAAAAGATGAAAGGAGAATTTTGGAGAAGGAAAGGAGTTTCAAGACTATTCCACATTATTCTCTTAGTTAAGGTGAAGCTATCTGAGAATGATGAGGATATTAAGGCTGATACACAGAGGACATATTGTTTTATGGACTCAAGAAAGGAGTGAGATTGTCTGCTGATGATATGATTATCTTTTGATTCCATTGGAGGGCAGCAGTACTAGAATGTCCATACAAAAATCAGTTGGAATAATCAGTGATAATGACTGATTTGTAGGCAATTTTCACTGTTATGACAAGAAAAAATAACACTTTCTCTGAGACAAAAATAAACAGCTATACTTCAATTAAATTTGCTCAACTAAATTGACATTATGAAATTATCACCTGCAAGGCAAAAAGAATCTCACTTGTGCATCATTTTCAGTAAGAACCTGAAAATTGTGGCTAGGTTGTACTAACACAGATTGAGACTATCTTTAAGAATTGGACTGTTAATTTGAATGTGGATCATGTAATATAAACAACTGGTTAGAAGCTATTTCTAAATCCTTCTCCTTGCATTGCTTTTCCACAGGAGTAACTGCTCTGAGCCCAGACCTTTGATTCCTTGACTGAGAGGTAAGTTCCACTGCTGGCAGTGCCCCTGACTTATTCCTGTTCTTCAACTCAGCTCTCACACTATGTGCAGGGTCCTAGGTTGTTAGAGCTGTTATTTAAGGTTTTAGAAAACAGAAGATGCAAATGGAACAGGAAGTGTTTTTTAAGTACATTGTCTGATTTAAACCCAGGAAATACTATGTTCTTTAGGTATATGCAACAGGACTCTAACAGGGTAAAGGAAGTATTTATAAGACTTCAATATTTCAAACAGAAAAACAATCAGAAATATTTCCTCATATTTCAAAGTACAATTTATAGATTCTTTCTTTGTTAAAGCTCACTTGCTAGCCATCATCTTGTGTTTTTAAAAAATAAAAAGTGTAGTGACTAGAAATAAGTGGATATCTCAAATTTGCAATCTAAGAGACTATTCACACTGAGAAAAGCAACTATTCACATTAAAGCATCACAGTAAAAGTAAATAAGTACAGGGATCAGGGCCACCATTATCTTATGATCTATACTTGGAGTCTGATCCTCTGAGCAGGCATCTGCAGCAACTCTTCCAAAAACTAAATAAATTTTCTGTATTTTATTTGACATGGCAGAGATGCCAGTTCCTGATAAAATAGTTTAGAAGTTAGAGGCTTCCACTTTGAACCAAAAAAATCTGCATTTGTGACCTTCTGCAAAATCATTTTCCACTCACAGGCAGATTTTTCTGGTCATAGAGATACAACTGAAGGTGTGCCTGTTCCTGCAGCCATTGCAAAAAAGAGAAGGTGGCTGTGGTTTTTGTATGCCTGGTTCTGCTGGTGTTCAGTCTGCTATGATAGTGTCTGCCAGACCTAGCCTGGCATGTGGATTCATGGGGAGAAATGGGGTAATAAACTTAGCTCACAAACTTAGATGTCAATGTAAATACATGAGCTAACAACTCCAGACTCTGGTCTTGGTCCAAGGAAAAATAGTTATTTTTAAGGTGCTATTCCATTTTAGATACCTCCTTTAAGATGAATCTGCCTTAAGAGCTATTGAATATGTTGACTAGATCTCCATCAATTGTCAAGCAGAGTGATTAACTTTAGTACTGATACTTAGTTTTGTTTAATGGACACTACTCATGGATTCTGGATATGGGTTTAACTCAGGATGCTCATACTGGAGTGGTTCTGGTCCTGTGGGAAAGCTAATGAAGTTCAGAGTGAAGCAGGGAAGTGCCTACTGAGCTAAGGCACTAAGAATAGCCAGAGCTGAGGGAGAGCTTTGGGGATTGTGGTTTTGGAATGAGGATTTAGTTAGACATAATGACTGTCCTGCTGCTTGAGAGACACCACCTGATTGCACCACTGCACTAAAACTGGGTTGGAGAAGGAAAAGCAGGCTAGGTTGTCTACCAATGGGGCAATAAATTCCAGGTGAAGGACAGGAAGTAGCATGGAATGATAACTTCATGGATTGCTTGGCTATGTATTGGCTACATCTGTTAGGTCAAAGTACTTTATTACCTCTAGCTCTACATGATTTAAAACAATCAACCCTTTAATCTCAAAAAACATATGTAGAAAGGGCATGCTCCTATGATTCTAGAAATGTGCAGGACATGAAGTAGAGGATATTACTCAAATGAGAATATTATTTTGTCTTTAAAATTTAGAAACATAGAATCATTTAGTTTGGAAAAGACCTTTTAGAACAAGTCCAACTGTTAACCTAACACTGCCTAGCCCACTACTAAGCCATGTCCCTGAGCGCCAAATGTCTTAATACCTCCAGGACTGGTGGCTCAAGCACTTCCCTGGGCAGCCTGTTCCAATGCTTACAATCCTTTCGGTGAATAAATATTTCCTAATATCCAATCTAAACCAGCCCTGGCACAGCCTGAGGCCATTTTCTCTTGCTGTAGTCCTTGTTATGTGGAAGAAGAGACCAGCCCCCACCTTGGTGCACCCTCCTTTCAGGCAGTTGCAGAGAGCAGTAAGGTCCCCCTGAGTCTCCTCCAGGCAAAGTGCTAACCCATCCAAGCCATGAACAGCAAGTTTTTCCAGGAATTAATTAATTTAATTACATGTACATGTAATTACAAGTGAATAATTTTCATTTTTAAAACAAGTTTTACAGGGAACATTAAGCCAGAATTTTATAGGTATAAAAATTTAAGCCCTACTACAATTGTTGTCCAAATTCTAAATATTTAGATTGGTTAACTGAGAACCTACTGAGAAAAAGACAGCATGCAGTTATGTTGGAGAGAAAGGGATTTGAATAAAGAAGCTCTTTTATGGGTCAGTAGCCTTTCAATACCTGTACACATTGATTGCCTGTGATAATTACAGTTCAATGCAGAAGACACATTTTTAATTATCAGTAAGCCGAAGAATTCCGTGTCCATCATTCCCTCAAGTCAGAGAATGACCACTGAATACAGAGAGGTTTATGGAAACAAAGCTCACACCAACGTTTGATGGCAGAATGTATTGAAACTTAGATTAGTAACTGCACCAAAGAAATAGATTGAGTGCCATAACTGAGAGTAAAGGAATCGACCTGTTCTCTCTGCTTGTTGCTACAAATCACACTTCTTGTTTTTAAATCAAATTTTTTAAGGAACCAAATATTTCTGAACGCTGAGAAATCTGTAAAAGTTTCTTTAAAATATACTCAGAAATTGGATGTATTTATACAGAGTGAAGAAATATTTGCCATTAAAAGCCTCAGTTATTCTTGGTCTTGAAATATATATAATTTGAATCTGAGAACATTAATTATATAACATTATAAATAATTTTGCATTAATTAACTTTTAAAATTAGTTGGTTTAAACTTAATTAAACTCACTCAGAATTAAAATTGCCTTTTATGACTGCAGCTTAATTTATATCTGAAATGAATTGAGCTGAACTGAATGATTCTGAGTATGTGTCCATATCTCCATACCGGGATCTAACACAGTCTAAATAACGCAGATTTCCTGAATGTCCATCTAAATCTGCTTCTTGCATGTGTGCATGAGTCTTACTTTCTACAGTGACTGCATAAATCAGAAGTAGTATGTCCATCACACCTGTTGAATATACTGTCAGTAAACTGTCCTTATGCTTTTTCTTATATAAATTAATTTGTCTCTGGTCAAAGCTGTGCTTTCTGACACACTGAATTTATGTGTGTGCATTTCATGTGTGTGTGTGTACAGAAGCAAAAGGATAAAGCAGATTAGAGCTGAAAAGTCTTTGGCTGTGTGGATCTTCCTCTCAAAATTGTAATTAGTGACCTGCCTATGAAGTTTGAAATTTCAGATCTGTTTTTAGGATGTGCTTTATGAACTGCTTTCATTAGTGCTGTGTTAATTTATTTGCAGAGATTGGTAGAGGAGCAGTACTGGAAAATTCAAGAACAGCTTGAAATTTTTGTTGAAAACAACAAATAAGCATCCAGGTTACAGCTCATGCTGCACTAGAAAATAATCTCTTACAGGAGAGGTAGGCTCTCAATAAACTCTGGCTGAGGGTGAATGTGTGGTCTCCCTTTGAGAACTAACCAAGCAATTAACAAGGGGTACTAGCGGTGCACATTTCACTTTTACACAGTGTTAAAACAAACTTAAGTTTTCCATAACTTGAGTTATGTTCTATGCTAGTGGCTCATGTTGCCCTTTACTCTTGCCTGTACCTCAACTGGAAGGCTCTGCTGAAGTTTTGCAAGCTACATGAAATTAGGTCCACATGAGGTATTGCATCCATATGCTTCAGAAGCTGCTATTAGATGCAGCTGAGGAGGTCTTCTTGGTTATGTGCACGTGTGCTGATACAAAAAGAAAAATTAATAAGACAAGCTGGACTTTGTGTAAATAAATGTAACTTTTTAAAAATCAATGACATTTATACTGTGCAGAACTGTTTCTTAATACCTGCAGACCTGATTTTTGTCTCCTGTGAAATATGAACATAGAATTCAAATTGTATTTGAGCCATGTTTTCAAGGTAGAACTGATTTGTACATTTTGCAGTTGTATGGAATGTTTGCCAACATAGAATGTATAGATATACATGGGGAAATGCCCTAAAGGGACTTTCAAGTTCATATATGATTTATAGATGCAGATAAAACTAATTTACAGAAAGGGATATTCTGTGTATTTGTACCACATTACAGCCTCAGCCTGTGCTGAGTTTTTAGCTATATGTATTGTTAGACAGATGTATTTTACCAAATATGTAGAAAGAGGGACTACTTTCTAACACAAATGTTAGAAAGAGGGACTACTTTCTCTATAGAAATTACTATGTCAAAGAAATTTTCAGACTGATTTGGAGGGTCAAATGAATAAGAAAGTCTGTCTTAAAAGGTTCCCTGAATTACTGGTAAACTGGTTCCTAAAACACAAAAGGGAGTTTGTTTGCCTGCTTTTATTTTTGTTTGTTTGTTTGTTTTTAGAATGGGTAAAAAAGTAAAGAAGGAAACAGAGTCTCCACCCAAGGATGTGGTAAGTTTATAAACTGCTATGTGCTATAAAATAAACATTACACAATTACAGGCCCAGCTCTACCGTCCTTACATAGTTCCTTATTCTCCTAGTTTACCCACATTATTCTAAAAATGGCTTTTAAAGATGTCTCTGTTTCTGCTTTGCTTGGACAGCATACAAACCAGAGTGACTGGGCATGTGTAGTTCTTTGTAGAGATTGTTGTCTTTGGCAGGCATTGCAAACAGTTATGTATGAAACAATCCAGGCTTCTTTTTATTTGAAGAACAGTGTTAGCTTTCTCTTTGTAAAAATCAAAGGAGAATGGAGAAGAGAGACCTGAAATCTGCCTGTCTTTTCAACTGTGAATACATTCTCTTTCTTTAAGGATGAAAGAGTTAAAAGCCTAGATAGATCTGTGTTTTTTTACAGAACACAAAATTTGACAAATATTTTGAATAATACTACATACTCTGTCTCTTTTGCAAATATGTACAGTCTTAAGAAGCAGTTTAGGTTTTTCTGTTGTCATTGGAAGTAGGGTGAAAAGTAGAGAAGCTGTAGCCAAATATAGAATAATGGTGATAGAGAGACTTTTTTTTTTCAAAAGGTGGAGGTTAAAGGTCTGATACTAGCACACTTTTCAAGAATTTCTGTAAATTCACAAGGTACAAAGAGGCTCCCAAAAAGACAATTGTTTGAAACACAGCTAGTTTTTAAAGTTTAGTTGCTTTCTTCAGAAAGAAGTAGAGGAAATATAGAAACATTGAAAAGAGTACAGTATCAACTCTGTGTCAAATAACAAGAAAATTAATGAAAATAGGGACCTCAATGAGTCCCACACAGGGAGTCCCACTCCTTCAGTGAGTCCCACTAAATGCCAAGTTCTTTACACTGTTTAAAAAACCCAATGGATTTATGTGTAAAGAGTTGTAGTACTGTGAGAGGTTTTTCAAAGGTCACAGAAAAGTCAGCAGAAACTACATTGCAATTTCAATATTAAATAAGCATATATAGTTTTGACTAAGACAGTAATATCCAATAGTCATGATGTCACTGAGACATAGCAGTTGACATCAGGTTTACCCAGCTGTTCTGTGGAAAGGTGAATATTACAAATACAATTCATAACCTTCAATCAATAATAAATCCTTATGAAAGGAAATTGCATAAAACCTCAACTTCTATCTGTATAAAGAATACACTCACAAAGAAGGTGTATGTGGATGAGTCTAATTCAAACAGGCCTGAGAAATTAAGTATCTTTGCAGCCTAAGAAAGGTTTAAAAGGCACGGCAACACATTAAAGTCATACAGAGGAGCTGAAGTAAATAGCTAGAAAATCAGTAGATGCAGCACCACAATTTCTATATCCAAAATATACAATTAGATTTTCTAGAGAAAATGGTGGTACAGCATGCTAGGTACTACAATAACCTGTGAATACCCAGACAAAATCAGTAAAACTATCAAAAGGAATGAGTTGGAAAGAGTGAATTCCAGATGGCATCTACAGCTTTTGGCTTAGTTTTTTCCCTTATTGTACTTCAGCCTAGCATGTCTATTCTGGCAGTTGTAGCAGGAGAAATGTGTTGTATCAGGACAGTATTAAATGTGAAAATAGATAATTTTAACTATTAATGAAGAAAATCTTACCATAATAAGAATTTTCTTCATAATGATTGAGTAAAATCAAATCTGAAAACTTTAAATTTCACCTGGGTGTTTCAGATGGCAGGAAATGAGATGCAGACAAAATAAAAGATGTATTAGCTATTATCTTGTGATTGATAATCTGTTTATGAAAATGTCAAGTCCAAGAAAAGATGCCTTGAGATAATGTAGACGGGCTTATAAAAGAAGGCCTTTGTGCATGTGGAATGCTCTGAGAATATATGGTACTGCAGATGACCACTAATTTTTTATAGATTTCTAGGAACAGGTGGGAAACACATCTCTTAGCCTAGCCACTGCTTATATGTTTCAGAAAGTATTCCTGAGGACTCTGTTTTCACTACCTTTCCTAATTTGTCTTTTAGTATTCTCTGTTCTGAGAATTGGTCTCCAAGAGGAAAAACATTGCTTTGAGCCACTATCTCTATATGAATGACCTAAGAGAGCAATTCAGGCAGATAAAATATGCTAGCATTGACATAGATTGATAGGGACTTTTCACATGATATCTACATTAAGTTTGGTCTAGACAATACTATTATTTGATCATTAGCTAGGTCATGGATATTGAAAGGGGAGCCTGAGATTATCCCTAGAGAAAATACTGAAGTGTTATCACTTAAAGAAAGCTATAGATACCTGAGTATTTTTGAAAAAGGCTTCATTCACAAGACTGATGTTAAAAAAAGTGGATTGTATGAATTGGCACAGTCAGCTCCTGAAATTGTCCCCATATAAACACCTTCTTTTGATTAACATCTAAATATTAATTTGACTTGACTTTAGTGAGGCTTTCAAACTGCCTCTTGTAACATCCTCATGGGTAAACTGGTGAAGAACAGAAGAGATAAACAGAGAGTGTGAATGAACCAAAAGGTAGCTGAACTGACAGGCTCAGAAGGTTGTGATCAGCTTCATGAGATCCTCTTAGAGGCCAGACACTCGTGTGGTGCTCCAGGGTGTGATCCTGGAGCAGATACTGTTCAACCTCTTCCTTAGTGACCTGAATGATGGGACAGAGTGCACACCCAGCAAGTTTGCAGAAGATACAAAATTAAGAGGAGTGATTGACAGACCAGATGGTTTGCAGCCATTCAGGGGGACCTCAACAATTTCCTAGAGGAATAGGAAATTGGGAATTTAATTAAGTTCAATAAAGGGAAATGGCTAAGTCCTGCACCTGGGGGAAGAATATCCGGTAGAGACTGGGTGAAGACCAGCTGGAAAGCAGCTTTACAGGAAAGAACCTGGTAATTCTGGTGGACGTGCATCAGAAATGGATACTTAGGACAAAGAAAGCTAACAAAATCCTGGGCATTAGGCAGAGTGTTGCCAGCAACCTGGGAGAGGGGACTCTTGTGTTTCACTCAGTTTTGGTGAGTGAGGCCACACCTGGAGTGCTGTGTTCTGTTCTGCATTCTCTGGTACGAGAGAGATGAGGCCTTAGTGGAACAAAGTCTTGGAGCCTTTGTCTAAGGAGGAGAGACTGGCAGTTGGGACTGCTTGGTCTTGAGAGAAGGTTTGGAGGAGTCTTGTAAGTGTGAAACTTGCTAATAGGAAGAAGTAAAGAAATCAAGCCAGGCTCTTCTCAGTGGTGCCTTGTGAAAAGATGAGAGGCAGTAGGCACAAAGGGAAATGCAGGAGGTTTCCATTTAAGCATAAGAAAAAAAATTCCTCTTTTGCCTTAACAATGATGGAGCATTGCATAGATTGTCCAGGGAGCTTGTGGAGTCTCCATCCTTGGGGTTACTCAAAATCAGACTGTGCACTAGCCCTGAGCTCTAGTTCACCCTGCTCTGGGCAGAGCAGCTGGACCAGATCATCTTTGGAGGTGCCTTCTGATATCAACTATTTGTGATTCAGTGAATATCTTGGGGTTTATTGTTAGGACAGGAGATCAGACACTCACAGAACTGAAATAATTAGCATATCCAGGTATCTACTAAAATCTGTTTTTCTAGGTAAAGGGACTGAGAGTAGTAAAGATATCTGTAGTGCTTCTGAAGGTTCTATGAGAGGTGAAAGGTTAAAACTGACCTTAAATCAAATTTAAGGGATTAAAAAAAAAAGAAAAACCAGCATGATTAATCGATAGAATAATTAGCAGATAAATACATCCTTCAAAATGTGGGATTTTCATCCAAATGAGAAAACAAAAAAATGCTTCCGCTCCCAATAGAGAAATAAAAGCACTGTCACCTTGCATCAAAATATTTTGGGAGAGATACAAAAACTGCAGTAAAGCTTTTTCAAATTGACTAGATGCAAGAAGCTTCTTAGGGGAAGCACTATTAGGTGATTTCAGTCTTGAAAGAAAAGCGAAATTATTTATTTTTGTGTCAAAAGGCAAACCAATGTTGTAATCACTAAAATAAATGTGATAAAATTGCCCAAGTTGGAATAAATAGTGTTTGCCCAGGTCTTGTGCTAAATGAAAAATAGCTAACATCAGAAAATGTGGTGCTAGAAGAATGGATGGTAGAAAATTGTGCTTTTAAAAGGAAATATAGCAATAATTACATGAAGTTTATCTTCTGTGCTGTGTTAATTGGTAGAAATAGTTCTTGAAAAAAACAAAACCAAACCCATGGATAAATATGATAGTAATGGGGAAGAATCGTTGGTGCTTGTGTAGAGGAGAGTTTGAGCTATGAAATCTACTTGAATTCTTTGGAGGGGTATTCTTTGGATAATGGTATTCTAATTGGTACAGCTGCTTAGCTTTTCCAAAAGTTTTCACACCAGACTTTTCACTCTCATAAAGATGAACAGGTAAAAAGCAATTACTCTGTAGTAATAATGTCTGGTTATAAAATAGGAAGCGAAGGTGAGAAAACAAGTTATTGTTCAGATGTCGTAATGGGGAGAAGTTGCCAGTCATGGAATTTTTGTCCTGCAGCTGTGTCTTCCAGTGTACCAGAATTTATGTGGATATTTTCATGAAAATGGCATCTAGCTCCTAAGTAGGAGAAAGTGAATAAGTACAAAATTTCAAGTTCCAGAAATAAAAGACAATACATCATGTTACTAGGAAATTCCCTGTACATGCACATGAATGCCATTAACAGTTCTGGTCTTCCCATCCCGAAAAGGTAGAGCTGAAGTATAGAAAGACAACAGAATGAACAAAGAATGAACTGAGAAAGACAATAAGAACAGACAGGGTGATCTCTGTTTTAGGAGAGATCAAAGGGAGTCGGTTTCTTCATTCTCAGAAGGAATCACTGTGAAGAGGAATATCATAGAAACTTATGAAATGATGAATATACAGCGAAAACAAATAAGTGTAATTTATTTCACTTTTTCTTATAGTGAATGAACTGTGGAGGATAAATAAAATTATCAGGTGGTATTTTTAAAAGAAGAGGCACAGTTATTTTATGAATATTTAACTGTGATACTTGTGTCTCGGAATATTAAGGGTGTTAAAATACAGATGGTTTCCAAAATTATGTAGCAAATTTTTCCTGGACTTTTTGAACACAGATAAAATCACTAGGTTCTCCAGTTCTCTAGGTTGCAGAGCTGGTATCTGAGAGGAAATATAAGTAAAATTTAATCATCTGCTTGCTCACACCTATTACTTGGCCCTTGTCAGAAACAGGATGTGGGACTAGGTGGGTCTTTGGTCTGGCTGGAAACATATTTTGTATTACATTTAATTTCAACTAAATTAAGTTGATGGAAGTAAAAAACACCCCAAAACATGAAAAAACCCCACCCCCTTCCCCCCTAAAAAAATCCCTAACAGAAACAAAAAAAAAACACCTAACAGAAACAAACAAAAAACCAAAACAAACAAGAAAACAAAAAAAAAAAAATCCAAACCAGAACCAAACCCCAAATGCTCTTCAGTTGCTAATGGCTTTGAGGTCAAACATACACAGAAGTCAAGATAAAAGACACATTATAGCTTTCTTTTTCATTTAACTTGCTATTTTCTTAATACAAATGGAATGATGGAAATCTTGTTGCTTATAAATTAGTTAAATTTCTGTGTTTAATTCAAGGTTGTTTGTAACTTCAAATATTTTATTCTAGCATATAAAATGTCCTGTATGTGCCATTACAGGAAGAATCTGCAATAATGTATGAAGATTTAGATGCAAGCCTTGGATAAAAAAATAAAGGTGGAACACTAGCTATGCTGACATAATGATAAGGAGAAGTCATAAGCAGTTCTATGATAGTTTTGATGAACAGCATTACCTCCCAGCAAATCACAGGGTGGGTCAGGTTGGAAGGGACCACAGTGGTCATCTGGTCCAACCACCCTGCTCAAGCAGGATCATCCCAGAGCACATTGCACAGGATTGCATCTTGTGGTTCTTGGACAGCTCCGGTGAGGGAGACTCCACAGCCTCTCTGGGCAACCTGTTCCAGTGCAGTCACCACACATTAAAGAAATTCTTCCTTAATCCCTCACTTGCTCAGGCCTCTGATTCTTAAAGATACATTTATTTCAGTGACTATTTTTACTGCATTTTAAGCACAAAAGTGCTTTTAATAGGAAAGTGGCTATTGAATATTGCATGCAGTAATAGCAAATATAATGTCTAATCAAATGGATAGGGATTAGACTAATGCTCGTGTGCCAACCTATCATTAAATCCCAGGAATTTTCATTGAGTTGGGGTTTATACAATTACTTGTAAACATGAGAAATGCTGAAAATGGAGCAATGCAATGCTGACTTTGGTATTAGATCAATGTATAAATAGTATACATGTGCCTCTGTTGTAGCTATTAGAAGCTTTTTCAATGAAGTAAATAAAATGATTGACATTTGTAAATATATATGTATATAGATTGTAATAATATTTAAAATTAATTTGTATTGCTATCTTATAATCTGCTATATTTTAAACACATTGTTTTTGAGAAACTGCATGACTCTAGTATCTAGTAGTTTCTGTATGTAACACAGATACTGTATAAGCCTGAAGTGTGAGGATACAAACCATGCTAACCATTTACTTTCAGTTCAAGGAAGCTTAAAACTTTTTAATGAGTAGAATTTTCAGAATTCCTTGAGTCTTCTTAGGAAACAAAAGGCTTTTTTAGAGGATTCCCTTGCTCAAGTGATGTTAGTCCTAAGGAGTCTATTAAGAGGGTGAAAACTGTCCGATTTGTTGGAAGATTTCTTTCTGCATGAGAGAGCTCAGAAATGGAAATGAAACCTTTGTATCATTTCTAGCTGGGTGAGCAGGAATTATATCTTGGAAGTACTTCATCTAGTACAGGATCATGGTGAGCTGGTGAACTGAGCTGACAAAGGCACAGAAAGTGTTCTTTTATTTTTTAAGCAGCAGCAAAGTGATATTGCCACAGAGTAACGAAATCCTCTTCCTTGTACACCTGCTGAGTCCACGGGCTCTGTGTACAGCTGCTCAAAAAAAACTTCTCATGTCTGGTTCTGAAGTCTCAGAATGCTCTTACATGTATAGCAACTACATAGCTTGTTACCTTCAAAAATTTCTAGATTTGCAGGGAAGCATGAAGGTTTTCCCAAAATCCTCATATGTGATGAAATCATAGTTGTATTTATTTAGAAGTCAATTATTCTTTCTAATTTTTCAAAAATGACTCAAAAAATTGGACTTTTCCAAGGAAACGGTGACTCAGTAATATCTCTAATTCAGTGCAGATATCAAACAAGATTTTATTTTATTTTGAATGAAATGTGGGAGCACACACAGGAAGACTCAGTATAAATCAAACTTTTCTTTTCCTTTTTTTTTTTGTTTTGTTTTTAGTTTGATCCTTTAATGATTGAAAGCAAAACACCAGCAACAGTTGTGCTAATGCTCAGTTCTCCTGAAAATGAAGTTTTGGCTAAGGCATGTGATGCTCTATATAAATTTGCATCAAAAGGTTAGTATTTTTGCAATAAGCTTTGTTTTGCAGTGCTTATATTTTGATAGTTGTTTCATTTCCTAGCATTGAAATTTTACTTTCTCCTCAAAGGCATCTGTTGAAGTTTGGGTGGTTTTTTTGAAATGTCTATACAACCTGTAGTTGCAGTAATAAAGAAGTCTTGTAGTTTGCATGAAGGAAACTTTCATAATTTTGTTGGAGATTTTTATGTTTACTGTTTAATAGAGCTCATTTTAATATAAGATAGATGCGGGTTTTTATAAGCAACAGATCTGCAGCTGAGAAATAATTCTGTTTTTATGTTGGAGTTTGAAATGTCTGTACCAGTGTAGTAATTTTAATCTTCAGTTTTCAATGACAAGAATCTCCTAGCCTTTTTCAGTTATTTTGACACAAAGTTGTTGTGTCGATGTTTCTGTGCAGGTGATTCATTGGAGGCTGCTCAGCCTCCTTTATCAAGCATATTTCTGTATGAGTTGGGAATCTAACAATTGTCCGAGATTCCAAATCTTCCAGAGGTTCCTGTATAATCTATAGCTAAACATCATGTTCAAGGTGCTCAGGAGACAAACAGCTGTATAACAAAGGCTAAAATTATGTAGCACATATTTTCCTAAGTTGTCTGCTACTTATTCCGTGTTATTCAATGTTAGCCACTCACATTGGTATGCACTGGTGGTATTCTTGCTCTGATTAATCTGGTTCAATTTTAATTTCCATTTCATTTGTGTTTTCTTTAAAAATTATGCATTTATATGCTGATTGTTAAACTGATGTAAATTACCAACACTGATGAAGTTGTGAGAATGGCTGAAGTCTTTGACAGCTGGCTAGGGGTCACTGGGTTCTGAAAGATATTTAGGTTCTGCTTAATATGGCAAGCTTGGTTGAGGGCATGAGATTGAATTCTGAATATGTGAAGAGAGAATGTGGACTGTTGGGAGACAGCTATGAACCATAAACTCTTGCTGGCTCCTTCCCTCCTGTCCACAGCAAAATATGTCACACTGCAGGACAGATGTGTTATGTTTTTTATGTTTAAAAGAATAATCCTTTAAATTATTAATGTAGTTATTCCCATAATCTTCCAGGAGAGTAGACTCTAACTTTGTGGTGTGGCACATGAGAAGGGGTTGTTTTCAGTTAATTAATTGCAGTTAATCTATTTTTTGGAGTGTTGCTGGTAAATAAAGTCCCATAATAAATAATACCTTCTCCATTTTAAGCATGTCTTGGCCTGAGAATGAGCACAGATCTCCAGTTTCCTCTCACATTTCTTACTTGTAGCCAGGAAGGGCAGGCACGGTTCATTAGAAAATGTTGTGGGAACTGAGAGTAGGAGTAGGATTGGGATTTTGTTTCTTGGGGCTTGTGTGTGTTTTGTGTGAGCAGGAACAGAAAGCTGTCATCACACTAAACTCCTCTGTTCTTTGCATGTCCAGCACCTATTCAGCTACAAAACACTTCATTCTCAGGTGCTAGAAATCTCAGGTAGGAATTAATGATGCAAATCCTGGTAGTTGCTTCCCTTGAGGGATAGTAAAGATTCACAGAATCACTGAACTGTTATGTTGGGAAAAATGCAATAGGGAGGCAAGAGAGGAGGAAAATAAAATGCATATTCACCTGAATTTTATCAGGTGTACAGTATTCACCTGATACTGTTCACCTATACTTTGCTAAGTAGGAAGCTTTCCTTTGTACTTCCATTTTTCTCCAACAACTGAGTGGAGTGTCCAATAGACAGGAGCATCCTTTGCTTGAAAAATGTGACTTAGTCTGAGATACTATTAATCCTTAAACTATCTGACGCATATTTATTAGGGGTGTAAATCAGATGTTCTTCAAAGGAACTGTCAGGCCTCTGTTCTTTGGTTCTGCTGTTCAATAAAAGATTGGTAGTGGTTTTACCTAGATTCATTAGAGCTGTGAGGTTGCTGGCCTTTTTCTTGGGCTTTTAACCCAGTTCCTTTTCAGGTGATGAAAACAAGGTGACACTTCTTGGTCTTGGAGCAGTGGAACATCTGTATAAGCTCCTCTCACACGAAGATCCACTTGTACGCAGAAATGCCGTCATGGTAGTTGGCATCATGGCTTCTAATAGTAAGAGTCTCGAGGTTTTACTATTTTTCAGTGTGCGGTCATCAAAACAAGAGGTTGATCATGTGAAAAAATCCTATATTGATGCCCAGACTAAAGTGATGTAAGGTTGAGTTTCAGTGGCTGTTATTTTATAGTGCTTTATAGACCTGTATCTGGTTAATGTAATTAAACAGGTCTTAATTTGGTGAATGTCTTACCCAGTTGTCTTCCATGAGGATATCCCAACCATGCTCTCAGTCTTTCCCAACCACACTCTCAGTCTTTTCATCAGCTGCTTGTCATGCTGCACTGGACCTTGTCCTCTTAGATTACTTTGAATTCAGCATTAGCATATTGTCAGTGGTGCTGCACAAGCATGGATTTGAATGAACAAATATCTCCCATTTATATTCACATCTTAATTGGTTTTTTATTTAGAAGTAAATTAAACTCATACCTTTTTTTCCCTCACATTTAAACATGTTGAATATGTTGATAATAACAACACAGCCCTGTAGGATCTCATGAAGTCTGTCCCAAAAAATGTTACTTGATTTTTCTATCCAAGGGTTGAGGTTTTGCTACTTTGCCATTGACAACATTAGAAATGCAATCTGAAAGACTTTACTGTGATTTAGTAAGACCTGTGTAATTCATGTTTTCCATTTGCTGTGTGGGCTGGCGTCAGCACAAAATTGCAAAGTGATGGCTTGAAAACTAAACAACAGAAGGATTGCTTTTAATTTGATAATTTTAACTGCAAATAATTTTAACTAGCAGGGTATGACTTCTTTGGCAGTTAAAATCATGCAATGTTTAATCAGTACTTGCTAGATGGAAGTATTTTGAATAGAGTTTCAATGAAATATAGAGGAACTTCATGTGTATCAAATATCATAGAATGTCATCTGCAACTTGAAAGTCTCTGCTTTTTTTTCTGGGCCTATTATGATCTTGGTCTAACTTGTGTGTCTTTCCCAGTCAGGTCTTTTTGTCACTCAGGGAATAACCATAAATACATTTTGCTTGGAGAAGATTCTGTTTCCTTACTCAGCTAAGACTGCCAAACAAATGACTTGATATTTGTATTTTCTTCATCGTAGATGATGTGAAGAAGTTACTGAGGGAACTGGACGTCACAAATTCACTTATATCACAGCTGGCTCCAGAAGGTACCTTATAGTATTCATTTCTTGTGCAAAAGTACAAGTCAGAAATAATTTATGATTGCCATTTTATCAGATAATTTAATAAAATCTTAAAATGATATTTCTACCTTGTAAAATGATATTTCTTAGTACATGTTTAATAGGTAAGTGCTTTTATAGGAGTAGCTCTGTAGCTCACTGATTAGTGTTTTGTGTTGTACAGATGGAGCAAGACGTTCATGGACATATTGAGTATGGTTAACAACTATTGTTTATTGACTTCAGATAATGCTTTAAATGAAAATTAATTCTCTACTGAAGTAGTGAAAATATTCTGTGCTGAATAAAACTTAATCAAAATGTTTATTTTTTTTTTCCCCACAGAAGATGTAGTTATCCATGAGTTTGCTACTCTTTGTCTAGCATATATGGCTGTTGAATATACTACTAAAGTAAAAATATTTGAGCAAGGTGGGTTAGAACCACTTATCAGACTGTTAGGTAGCCCTGATCCTGATGTTACGAAGAATTCACTTGAGTGTATCTACCTTTTGGTACAGGTAAAGTTTGCTCTTGTTTGTTGTGTTAAACTTCAGAGGCATTTGCACCCCTTCCCCTGACAATCTCTGTGGGATTTTGTAATTTTAAAATATTTGCTCCCTTTACTCCACAGTGTTCGTGAATGTTTTTGAAACATTGAGTCCTTGCACCTGAGTCCCTAAATGTTAAATTGGTTATGAATAGAGCTGTTTTTAATTCTGTTAAACTTAATGCAGTTGTCTGTGCTGTACTGCAGTAAAAGTAAAATCAGTAGGAGGTTCAGATTTTTAAAACTAAATAATAATTTGCCTTCTGTCTTAGTTGAAAAATGTTAATCTTAGTAATGAGAGTTGTAATCTGTCTATCCAAAAGGCTGGAATTACCCTGTAAATTAAAGAACTACCAAATGCATTGTTTCTTGTTTTGACCAGCAAGTCCGTAGCACAATTTGGAACATCTTTTAATGATAGGTGAATGCTGTCAACAGCTACTTTCCATACTGGGAGGAATAGATTCGTTATTGGCTACTTCCACTAATGTCATCCATATGCTGCTTAGCAAAAGAATGGCGCATTTGTGTGGCAGTTCTTTCCCATGGCTTAAGCGAATCAATTCAGTAATGAATTCAGTTTATAACTCTATCTCTTTTGGGGCATCAGAGCATGTCTATTCAGAATCACATTTTACTCTTTCTCCTTTTTTACTATCTCGCTGTCTTTGTTGCAGGGTATATCTGGATAACTGCACCTGGTGCTTGCTTATATTGATAAGGATAATTGCATGCTGCACATGTGCAATAAGCTATTTAAAAGCGAATTGTAATTTATTTATTTATTTTCTTTTTTAATATAATCAACTACTGTCTTTTTATTAAGCTGCACATTCACTGTTTAAAGTTGAAATTTTAAATTGTCATTTTATAATTACTAAAACAAAAGAAAATATAACCAGGCAACCACAGCAGAGTGCAAAACACTGTTTTCCTCCCACTGAGGTAAATAAAAATTGTGAAACTAAATTTAAAAACTTTCTCAAAGAAACATTTATGTTGAGGCAAACATGGTAAAATAAAGAGTGAATAGGCTTTTTTATACAGGACTAGATTTTGTGGTAAGTATGTCAGTCATGCAGAAAACCCCTAGAATTTCATGTTTCTGAGGCTTGATTATATTCAGTTTGATTCTTAGCTTAAAAGAAAGAAGTCTGCAAAACTGGAAGCTCTGCAGTATTGACTCATTGTTTAATGTCTAAATTCAGATTTTTTGTGTTCTTTCTGCAAAGTGAGAAATTGATGTATTGTTATATTCTCTATCACTAACATTCTTTGTTGGAATATTTTACTGCAGGATTTTCAAAACCGTGCTGCAGTTCGAGAACTGAATGTAATTCCACCCTTGCTGAAACTACTGGAATCTGAATATCCAGTCATTCAGTCCTTGGCCCTTCAAACCTTAGAAGTAATTAGCAAAGACAGAGAAACCAGAATATTACTGGAAGAATATAAGGGATTAGATTGCCTTCTGAATATACTGGAAAACAATGTAGGGTTTACTTGCCTTAAGCTTTTTTTTGTTCTTGGTGCCGATGTTTGTATGTTTGTGTGACTAATGAGAAATAGTACTTATTTTATGGAAGAGAGATATAAGAACAAAGAGTTACTTACTTGGAGGGAACTTTGATAGAAATGAGATAAGCTAGGATATCTAGCTTACTAAGAAAAGAAGCAAAGACATTTCCCAAAATGTTTATTATTCAATTTTTGAATTGAGTTTACTTTATATAATGGCTTTAGACACAATTTCCTATAATTGTTTATGCTATTTTTAGACTCAGTTTAGTGCTTCTGGAGTTCAGGTGCCACAATGGGGAATACAATGCATAGAGATATTAGTGAATTTTTTTAAGTTTTACGATCAGGCACATTCAGGCACATTCTGAGTACCTGTTTAGCCCGCTTTTATGTAAATTAAAAACTTCTGGGAGTTTTACTATTTTTAATAAATTGTATTGAATCCTAGAGTCATCATCAAATAAATTATATGAAAATATGTATTTGTAAATGTGTACTTTGCTGTATGAATAAACTGTCCAAAAGAAAGTTGCAACAATTATCTTACAAATTTAAAAGCCTAAGATATTTTAGTCCTGATTTCAAGGTTGTTTTTTTTTTTTTTTTGCTTTAAATTTTTTTTTATTAGGAACTCAACGATCTACATGTCGAAACTCTTGCTGTGTTGGCAAATTGCCTCGAGGATGTGCATACTCTGCAACAGATTCAGCTGACAGGAGGCATTCAAAAACTACTTTCATTTTTAAAAGTCTCTACTGTTCCTGATATTCAGAAGAATGCAGCAAAGGCAATTACCAATGCAGCTTATGACTGTATGTGACTTTTCAACAATCCATGGACATGAAATTGTTTATGATGTAAATTTTTATCCAGAATGAGGTCATCTTCTCTGGTTCAGGGTAGTACTTGTGTTGAGGAAAGCACTGGCAAGAATTAATCTCAGTGATGAATCTTGCCAATCAGAGCAGCAATTGAATGCTAGGAGGTTTTATATATATATATATATATTTGAAAATGTTATGGTTTTGCCTCAATTTATTTTTATTATTTTATTTTATAATGGTCTTGTAAAATTATGTCCTCAAAGGAAAATGGACCTCTGAAAATATGATCCCTGTCTTTTGTTTAGTGATGCCAGCTGACTGCCATCTTAAGCCACCTTTGCTGGCACTGTTTCTGCCTCTATCTGTTAAGACTTCATTGCAAGCTGACTTCCTTTTGCATTCAACTGCTCTTCTAAATGTCAGGCAATTTCAAATACAAATTCCTTTAACAGAGGCATGAAAGGAAACCTTTCAAATGGCTTGCAGATTAATATTCCCAGGGGAGTTAAATAGTTTCATTGTAATCTTTTTATAATTATTCATCCTATAATTCTTTTTTGTATACTTTTCTTTAATTCACTGAGGAATTCTGAATTAGGCAGAGCATGCTCATCATTTATGCCCACAAGGATGCTCTTTTAATCAAACTACATTTGAAATTCCTTCCATACATTGGCTACTGAGTTGCAACATGTGCCAAGTAATGTTGTATAACAAAATGCAATGTAACTAATAACATACTTCTGACTATAGATTTTACTTCTGTCAAGGGATTTTTATGACAGTAGAATTTAAATATTTCATTCATAATTCTGGCACCTTGTGATTGAATCATGGCTTTATGTGTATTTTAAAAATAGGTCATTTAATTTAATACATGGATAAAATAATCTCTCCTTTCTGCCATATTTCAGACCTCCTTTCATCTCTCCCCATGCTATCTTTCTGATTCTTTTCTCACCTTGCTTAGTTTGATATCCTGAATATTTGTAATTATTTGGATTGAAAATGATACAGAGAAAGAACGTCCGAGTATTCTGTGGATTTTCTTTGCTTTTGTCATTATCTGTTAGAAGCTTGGCAAGTCACTGAAAATTGTTTTCATTAATGTTCAGGTATCAAAGGCAGAAAGGGACCTTCTTATGTCAGTATTTTCTTTGTGCATTTTCTGTGTTGTTATTTTATTACGCTACTTAGGACTGTCAGTATCATTTTTATAGTCCTGTGACAGGCTTGTAAGTTGTATGCTAAGCAGATTTATATTTGCTCCCACTGCTTTCTACTGCATCTTCCTCCTTTATCATATTTATTTTCAAATAAGCATAGCCTTCTTTTCCTCTTTCACACTTTTTTTTCAGTTTTTGTGGCCTAATATTTTAGCAGCTGTTAGTAGAAGCATGTCTGAGCACATTTTTAAAGCACGGTTGCAAGAACCACAGATAATATATTACAGTACTGCCTGTGATCTTATATCATGGGATGTTACCGTCAGTGAAGATGCATCTTCTTGTCATGCTTCTTTACAAATGGAGTCAATGAGGTTTCATTATAAAGGTTTGCTCTCTTCTTCAGCCTATGACAGTTAGTATGGATGCAGCAAGCTGGGAAAATACATCAAAAGGAGATTTAAAATATTTGCTTTCAAGCTGTGGAATTTTGGTGACACCCAGTTAGACAACAGGAAACTTCTTGTCCTGGTGCAGTGGAAAACACAGTCCAGTAAAATTGCTGCTCAATGTAGTCCCCAAAAGCACTGAAAAATTTTCAGCTACCTAGAGATACTGGTCTAAAGTCAGCCTTGCAGTGAAAAGAAAAGGCTATTATAAGAAACAGCCCAAGTGCAAAAAGAAAACAGAAATATTTTCAGTTCTTGTTTTGTGATTGGATTGTGGTTGTAAGCATACTAAACAGCCTATCCAAAATGCAACACTAGCATATACTATACTAGTACTTGCCTTGATTTGAATCCAGTATAAGACAACACAGCTCTTAGTTCTCTAGTGACTGTTTCATTAAATTTGCAATAGCTATACCCACATTCTTCAGGCTTGATAATCATGATTGCAATTTACCAACATTTCCTGTATACTTGGGTAAAAAAATACTGCTTTTCTTTGGAATGAAAAACCTACTTTTGCCATGACAGAACATGTATCTAGCTGGCTTTTTTTAAATCCTGGCAGCTGAGTATACAGCAGTATCTGGTTTTGAAATTATTATTGTTGACAGATGGAATTTGGTTTTGGATTGGGTTTTTTTTTCCTGATAGATGTGATCATAGCAAGCAGTTTTGTTTTATGTCCCTTTCAACCCTTTGGAAAGGGACTCTTCTAACTTGGTGTTGTTGTTGTAAGAAATATATATATCCCTTAAGAGTTATTCTCAGTATCAGAATAAATTACATGGTATAAACATGATATTCAGCTTTAAATAGCATCTTTAGGATGCTTCTCTGTTTAAGTACATTAAAATGGATCATATTTATATACATAATCATTATGCCCTTGTCTCTGAATTTTTTTTTTGTTCTCTAACATAATTTTGAATTTATTATATTAATTTATTGATTATTTTGTTTTGTTTGCTCAGAATTCCACTGGTGAATTGTACTGTAATTCTTGCCTTGCCCACCAAATAATGCAGTGAATTCAGAATGCTAAATTATAATCTAATGCTATAAATTATTGAATGTCTGTGAGTGGATTATCTGGACTGTTGATTAAGGAGAGCCTGATTTTCCCCTGACAATGCCAGACACACCAGCCACAACAAAATGCTGTGGAGTGTATGTGGGGAAAGTGGTGATCACTCTGTGCTAAGCCAAACTTCTGCTTTGAAGCTCTCCACATTCTTTCTGTGTATCTCAGTGCATCTCATGCTCAAAGGGAAGCACACTAAACATGCTCTGTGGCCTGAATAACAAAGGCAGTTCATAATACAGATCTTTGTTTATCTCAGTTAGCTCAAGATCAGTGGGAGGTCATTAACTTTTTTCATTTGAAATTGGTATAAATAATTACATAAGGTGATGACAGTGACCTGAAAAGTAATGAGTAGAACTCAGATCATGATTTGGGGGTAAGAGGGAGAAATAGAAAAACATATTGAAAAATAAAGTTTGTCTCACCACGAGGTCAGTGCATTAAAATCTGGACTGAATGGTAGATACTCCAAACTCTTTTAGTTGTGTATGCTTTATTTTCCCTCATGTTAAATCAATGTATTCAAATAATGTAGGGGTCAAGAAATTAATCACTGTAAAATTGGTGTTGGCACTGACATCCAAAGTACTTCAGTATAAACTATGCTTTTCAGTTGTGCAATCTTTCTAGTCTGCAGTAAAGGACACAAAGGAAACAACTCATGCACACAGAGAGAGGATCAGCAGAAAATGTTCATCCCTTAGGTAGAATTGGCACTTGGATATTGAAATATTAATAATTTTCATTGATCTAACTACCTAAATATACATCCATACTCTATATTGTAAGTTCAATTTCAAGATGACTTTATTATTATAAAATTCTTTTTCTGTTTAAAGTATTTTAATTACTGTTTTCAGTCATTCAAATTATTTATTCATATTATTATTTCGTATAGGCATAAATTATCTTTAAAATAAATGCTTACCCATCATCATAGGTGATTTTAAAAGCAAGAATAATTTTAAAGAAAATCTGTAAACAAATAAGTAACTTGCTGTACAACAAACAAATTACTGAGGCATGAAGAACCTCTGGAGATCATTATTAGGGATTATGGACTACCTTGGCAAGCAGCAGACCAGCAACACACTTGACAACTTGTCAAAACAGTCTCTCATCCCAATGAGGCCTTCTCTTGAGAGCTGGCTGATATGCATCAAGTTTGTGGACAAAGTTCTGCTGATACTTAAAATCCTCCCTGTTTTATTTGTTGCATCTTTGTTTTGAGATTTCATTTGTGTATCTGAGGATTCTAAAAGAGTTTAAAACTGACCTGAAGAGGAGAAATTGGCTGCACCTGTCTCATCTCCATGCTTTGAGTAATTTCTGCTCTATTACATTTTTGATCAAACTTGCTTTGCATTGACTTTGTGGACTTGTGTTTGTTTACTTTTATTCACTACAGATTCAGATTTATCTAAAATAATACTTAAAATAATTTTTTCCCCTTTAATTTTTTTTGGAGAGGGGACAGCAATCCAAACAAGGGAGTGGTCCCTCAGAATGGTAGAATGCAGTGGTAAAATTTCTAAATATTTTGAAGTCCCACTGACTTCTCTGTCCCTGAAATTCTTTAATACTTTCCAAATTCTACTATGTCGATATAACTTCCAGCATGTAATTAGTCCAGTTTAAATTATGCATATGGTTAAATGTCTGTTTTCTCTCCTTGTAGAGTTTCTGTGCTCTCCAGTGCCTTTCTGCCTGAGAAAGTTTCTTTCAGGGATCTTTCTAGCAAATACCTGCATTTCTGATCTCATCAGTTTTGAGATGAGGGAGTTTATCAGTTTATTGGTATCTACATACAGATGTCTGTAGGTACTTCATGGGTGCTGTGTGTTGTTACTTGTGCAGAGCAAGGAGCATCTCTGTCCTTCTACAGCTGCTGCTGGTCAGTGCAGTGTAGGTCAGCAGTGAGCACTGGCCTAAACTACAAAATTCAAATTCTCCGCAAAGTGGGCAGAAAATTTTCTTTGTAATACTCCTTGCCTATTTTTGGCTATTTTAATACATTGAGTGATATTTCACCAAGTTCAATTGTACATTTATTGGTATGTTCTTCAGTTTTATGCATTTGGACTTTGTTAGCATAAACTGAAGTTCTGCACAATCCTGAATAAGTATGATCTGTTGCATTGGAAAAGCTGTGTCCATCAAGCCTGTATGCACTCTGTGGTTTTAAAGTCTTGCAGAGAACAAACTTTGCATTCTGTTGGGCTATGTATGTTTATACTGTGGTTAATAGTCATTATTTGGGCTTGGTTCAGAGTTCCATGAAGCCCAGTCCAGGAGCTGGATTTTGGATGATCCTTGTGCATCCCTTCCAACTCAGGATGTTCTGTGATGGGATTTGGCTCAGGTCCTTTGTGCATATTTCTTAGTGGCTGGTGCCTCTGTTACCAAAATATTTCCAACAACTAAATTAAATCAAATTAATGTCCTTTACTGATTTAGAAAACAAATGCAGATTAATGTTGTTGTTATTTCTCATTTAAAGCGGAAATACTAAAAATCTTACATTGGGAAGAGGTTGAGACATTTCTCCTAAGACTTTTGGAAACTAACAATGATGATGTTAAAGTTGCTGCTTCCCAAGCCATTTCTGCCATGTGTGAGAATATAGACAGTAAATGTGTCCTTGGACTCCAAGGTAAGTATGGTGGGAAAGGATGAAATATGAATTTGTGTTTTTTCTGTTTATAAGGTGAATATTATAATTTTACAGATTGCTATGGCTTATTTAAATGTTCATATGTATTTCTTTCAAAGGGATTCCTCAGCTAGTAAAGCTGCTAAGCAGTGATAATGAAGAGCTAAAAGAAGCTGTAGTGACAGCATTAAATAATTTGACAACAGCCAATCTTAGAAATGCAAGGTGAGTCTGCAATAATTAAATTATTATTTTAAACACTTATCTGAAGTGTTAATATTTTGATTTTTAAAGAATGCCTCATCTTGTTCTTATGCTGCAAGGCAGGTCTGTTTGAATTTGACTGTAAAGCACTTTTTGGTGCTTATGAGTCACCTGGAATAGCTAAGTTCTCATCAGTATTACAAGAGTTGTGCTGTCTCTACTAAGGTTAGCATCATCAAGGAAAGGTATGAAGCAGATGTAACGAAGGCAGAGCTGTAAATCATGTTTTGAAGAGAACATATGAGCAAAATGTGCCTTATAGCCTAAAGCATTTGATGTGGAGGTTTTTTTTTAAATCCAAAATCATTGATATATTTTAAAGCTGGATGGTTCATACAACCTTTTTGACTGATCTAAATCCATTATTTGAGGGAGATAGATCTCCTGAATATTGGCGTTGTTTTGCTCTTCCTTTTTGTAATTATTTCCCAAGTCATAGAGAATCTTGTAGTGTATTCTCTGAAAGAAATGTACCTTCAGAATCCAAACTTACTAACAAAGGTAACAATGGTTAGCTCACTATACATTCCAAAACAATTATATAAACTACATTCTACTGCCAGCTATGCAGCATCCTTTTATCCCAACTCTGTTAGAAGTCCTGTTCAGAGAAGAGTAACAGAGCAGTGTGATCTATATGAGCAATCACATGTAATTTACAAACAAACAAAAAAAAATCCTTCAAAGTTTCTTGGAATATACTTAAAGAAGTTATAATGGAGTCACAGGCATTCTTTGAAGTGAAAAAGTAAAGTAACTTACAAAACAAATTGTTTCAATTTATTGATTCAGCTCTAATAGTCACTCATATTCACTTAATGTTACCAGATGGAGCAATAATTTGACACAAGAGAATAATACTCTGCTCTCAGATTCACATAGTACATTTTTTTTGTCTGATATTCTGCTCTCCTCATGTGCTGGACTCTTCAGTTGGTGTCAGTGGGAGTCACACACACATTAAACGAGCACAGTGCTGGAGTCCAGAGGTCAAACTTTCAGCTCTGCTACAGCTGGTTTTCGTAGTGCAGTCCTTTGAGGTTTCACATTGTGAAAAGGGGATCTCTGGAGAGTTTTGAGTTGGTATAGCAGCTTATGCCAACTCATTCCATTTCTTTTGCTAAGGAGATAGTCAGGACATTGTTTAGCTCAACTGCTGAACAATTCTCTGAGACCTCAAGCAGGGAAATAGCTGTCTCTGTTCCTCTGCATTATAATGAAGTCCGTATTTGTTTCTTGCTGGGCAGAGTCAGGAAATTGTAAAGGTGGCTTACATATACTTCTCTCTCCTTGCAATCCAGCTTCAAGTACAATATGGAAGCACCAGATAATCTAATCAGAGGTCTTCTGTGAAAATCAGGAAGCAATAATTTACATTAAATATGTATATTGGATGAATTCCATGTGACTATATAATTACTTCAAAGCTTCATTTCTAAATCAAAACCATTAATAAGTCACAGAAGGGTCTGAGTGTGACTAGGATCTATAAATGAATATATAGTGTTGAACCCTTAGCTGATACAAATTGGTATAGTTCCAGCTCACTGACTGACTATCAGGCCCATATTTATTTTACATTCACATAATAGGAAAAAAAAATAGTTTGGAGAAAATTCATTTCATATTGAGTTACCATAATCATATTTCATACTAGAATGTTTCATTTGTATGTCCTGTAGACCACTGAAAGTAAGTGTATAAATAATGAAGATGCTGATGCACTTTTATAATAATGTGACTTCACTGTGTGATTATGTTGACAATATTCTGATCTCAAATGAAACTGATGAGACTAGTGCCCTTTTATGAGTTATGTATTAGATTCTTGTTATAAACTCTTCAAAAATATAAAATCAGGAAGGTAAGTAGCAGCAGGTGGACTTTATGTAGCAAGAACAAAATGGGTCCAGTGACGGGGAAGACTATTTGCTGTAAGTGCTTTTCACTGGCCAGTCAAATATTGAACCTTGTTGAACTCATATGCATGCATTCTGCTGTATTTCATTTCACAAGCATTTTTCTATATTACGTTGATTGAAGGATGCCCTTTTATTTGGTACAGTGTATGTCTGAGGATGTAAAATGAATACAAGATGTTTCTATTTTTGCTGGAGATTTGTTGTTCTTATTAGGCGTATCAAAAGGTGCTGCCAGCTTTTCATATAATACAGAAAAAAATGCAATTTAAAGCAATCGTGTAATTAAAACTCCCACCATAGGTAGCTCATAATGATAAAGTCTTTCATTGATTAATAGCACAAGAACAGCATAGGCAATGGGCAATACTACCCCCCACTAATGTATATTAACCTTGACCTTTAGGTGCTTCCCCACAGCAATGAAAGGCTGGTTCTATACCCCTACCCAATCAATCCTTTGTTCCTCCACTGAGACAGCTAATAACGGTGTCAAATACGGTGGAGGTTTGGTAATTAGAACACCTGTTCACAATGAACGGGACAGACACCAGCTTGTCATTTGACACAAGTCCTCAAGCAATCACGATTTGGCAAAAATAAATAAATTAATTAATTACTCTGCTTCCCGGGGTATTTTAACAAAAAATCTAGAGCAGAAGAGCATACGAGTCCCATACAAATGGTTTGGGTTTTCAGGTTTACTGGACAACGTGGATTTTTCAATAGGCTCTCTACCAGAAAAGATAGCAGTTAATACAAATAACTTCTAAAATGTTTCAGCATTTAAATTCTTGCTGAGGAGCTGATGTTGTGTCTCACTTCAATAGCACATAGGAAGAAATATGGTGGTCAAGTGCCTCCTTGGTTTACAGACTGATATCCTCAAAATATGCTTTTATTAGAATTTTACCATAAGGACAGAGTTTTAATGCTGATCAATATTGATGATAAATCCTTGTTAATAATTAGACTCAGTAAAAATAAAATTGCAAAGTATATTGCAATTAAAAATCTCATGGGCTCGTTCTAATGTTTTATGTTACTATGTGTGCATAGCTCTGAGGTCATCCTTGATATATATGTCAGAATTTGTTTCTGTGGCCTGCTTCTGGAAAAAAGGAGAATTATGTTCAGCTGGGTATTTGCATCCATCTTCTCTATCACATTTTTTTAATCCAGAGCAATAACTTGCTTTACTGAAAGCAGTTATTTGGGCAGCAGAATGCCATTTAAAGAATCCTGAAGCTCTGTGGGTTTGCTGTGTCCAGGCACCGGGCAGTGTGGGTGCAGTCACTCCAGTAACGGATGTGATGCACGAGTGGAACAATTGCACACGAACAAAGAAACAGCAGCGTCATCTGTTGGGCAGGAAAATAAGTGATTCTGTGCCACACATCTAATCCTGGAACAAATGGCTTACCTCAGCCTCTGCCTATTTTTTCTCATTTGAAGTATAATCAATTATTTTCGCTTTTCATGTATTTAGGATTAGATAATCATGTGAAATATAAGTACGATATGAGAAGTAGCACATAGAAATCAGCTCTCGTGTATACCAGTTAGTCAGACATGAATTTGACCAGCTCTTTCCTTCAGTATTGTCGTAGCACAAATGCCATTTCTAATAGCTGCCTTCATAAATCTGGCAATGTCTGAATTCTGGGCACCTAATGGATTTGCCACTAAAGGAAAACATATGCTCTGAAAATTAGAACTTCATGCTGGACATGAAAACTAATTTTAAGCCTCAATAATATTTGTCCTCAATTGCTTATTTTAACCTCAAAATTCATAGCATTCAGTTAGAATTTGGTATGGGAGAAGAAGGAAAAGAGTGTTTTTTCTTCATCTGTACCAAGGACTGCAGAAAGTTCTGGTACATGATAGACTTATGGCAGAATATTTCTCCTGGTATTTATAATAAGTGTCAGGTGACAAAATTCTGTTTTATATCTGGATTCAAAATAGGGCAGTATCATCCCAAAATTTCCAAAGTCAGCAAGCTTGATGTTATTTAATTTTCTAATTCTTAAATTCACAGGAATCAGAGAACCTATTTGAATTTGCAAAGATTTTATCCATATAGGCAGTTCCAGGCATTGGTGCAGCATCTGAATGTATGCTTTCTGAAATGTACTAAGATTGTCAAGATTTGAGAGCAGTTTCGGATAGGAGCAGAGGTTGGGAACTCATTGGTTATGGACAGTGCCCAGTGAGGAGAAAGTGAGTTGTTCCCTTGACTTTAGTGGGTGTTAAATCTTTTATTCCAAACTAAAATTCATACACTGATCTAATGACTCAAAATACATCCTCAATCTGTTTCACATGTAGTGAGAGTGTCTCACCTTTTTCAACTGAGATTTTCAGTACACAATGGATTTTTTATTGTTTATAAGATGAATATGCCTGTGAAGGAAAAAAATTGAAGAACATCCAGGTTTTTTTACATTCCAAATATTATTGTAATTAGGGAGTAGGGATTAATACCATTAGGTAGGAATATCTCTAGGTAGTAATCTTCTCTATTAGAAAATGGGAAACTTACTAATAGCTTTTCTCTTTCAAGACTGTAAATAGAACCTAATTCACATAAATATTAAAGTGTTGATATTATTTAATACATTTGCATGAATATATGTGTTAATTTATGAGAAGAGGAACACCAATTTAATAACATAAAAAGATGATGATCCACTGTAGATTTTGTCCTTTTTTTGTGGTTTTAGTTCTTTATGACATAAGTTCATTTTTCTGAAGGAGGAAATCAACAATAGAATGCTGACTGTATTGTGTAGCAGTAATATGTTTTAATACTGACCCCTAGTGACAGAATTCTATTTTTGAGCTAATGTGCTGCAAGGCAAAGGGATGTTTTTGTGGTTTTTGGGTTGCGTTGTTACTTTTTTACGTTAGCATCCATGTCTACACTCTGTAAAATACAGTTATTTCAGGCCACCAACAGGTTCTTATTTTTCCTTTCTCTTACTTTATATACATATTATGGGAGGAACTGTATTTAAAAAGAAACAAACCAAAAAA